TGTTTTAGGTGCACAAAGTCCTTCAAAAGATCATATGGGTACACAAATTAAAGTACAGAAAATATGATTTAGTAACTACACCAACTCGTTTCTCATCGGCAGGCATCAGATTTTCAAACTAAAAATATATGGTTGCCAGGGGAACACTCCAAAACTAGATTTAAACAATCCCTCACCAACTTTAGCAAGATTTGGTAGCTGTCATGTACATTATTATTGGCTCCAACACTTCTTCTCTTCTTACTTCCCTTAGTCCATTTATACAAATTTGAAGGATGTGCGTCTATAATATTAACAGCACCCAAGCACCCTTGGCAAGTGGGAATGAGACACTGGATGATGCATAGCAAAAAAGGTCATTGAAATGTTGAGCGGTTGAGGGGTTCTGACTAATCAATACTCTTGTTTGTTACTCCAGCCCTTTTTTCCTTAAAAAGTTTTGACTTATTGATATCACTAATTATGCCACCACTGACCTTCCTCCTGTCGCTGTACTATAGAATCTAATGCTGTACTCTAACAGATTGACCAACGATTTTGAAAAACTGATCAATTTCTATTTGTGGTAATTTGTTTACTGAGGCTGAGGAAAAATGGTTAGATAAGCAATTATCATTAAACTAAAGGAGAAAAACAAACCCCAGCGGACAGTAGATTATGGGGAAAGCACACAGTTTGTCCAATGGGCATAGGAGCATTACAGTGAGGAATCTGTCCTTGGAGAAGGTCAACCACATTCAGGTTTGGGCCCAAGGCTATACTAATATCGAGGCTATTGTCTGTGTGTGTGTGTGTGTGTGTGTCGTGGTCTGGTGGTGTGTGTTGGTGTTGGTGTGTGTGTGTGTGTGTAATGCGTTGTTGGCGCTCTCGGGGTTCAGATGTGGGTCATGATGTTCCTGTATGTTTTTCTGCTGGACTGCTGTGAACCCAGAGACCTCCGGAGTGTGTGGGCCACACCAGAGAGATCTCACAGTCTGATCGTCGGTGTCACACCCAGAACTGTGGACACTGGTTGAACCAGCAGAGAGCAGGTGGAGGCACCGGCTAAATCCTGGTCTGTTTATGTGAAACAGACAAGTAGTTTTTTAAGTTAGCGAGTAAGATAAAGCTCAGACCGTATTAAAACTGCAGTAGATTAATATGATGCTCTGTCAGTCTGCTGGGGAACAACCAACATTTAGCCGGGGAAGCGGGCAGGTGTTGAATATTTGGAGGTGACGCCAGAACTCACAACCTCACTGAAGGAAGACATGGGACAGCGTTTAGGTGCACTAAAGCTGTCCCATGGGTGCAGCTCGGGGCTCAGTGGAGTCTGGTTGTGATTTCTGGTGTCGCTGTTCACCGCAGGGCAGAGAGCAGCCGGGAGATCCCTGAGTCAAAGCTGTTCATTGGTGTTTTTTAATCCAAAGTCTGGCAGAAAAACATACAGGCAGCACAGCAGGTGAGTTCACTTCACTTCTTCATGGCTTCTCCCTGTCTTTTATTTTGAAAACCCCCAGAGGAAGTGAAGCTGTGATGTTTGTGTTTGTGTCTGCAGGAGCTTCATAGCGGAGATGCAGCTGTTTGTCAGACAGCTCGGCAGAAGTAAGAGACTCAAACATATTTTCTTCTGAATACGCGTTGTGTGCATCTTAAAGGTTGTTTATGAAGTTCACTTTCTCACAGCAGAGAGACAGCAGTGTTTCCACCTGTCACCAACTCTGGTTTGTTCACAATAAATCCTTGATTCACTGACTTCATGTAAAAATATAGAACCTTTAGTTTAACCACAAACAG